CAAGTAGCTGTGACCCACATCTTATGAGTTCGTTACAGGTGATGACTTGTACAGTCAGGGTTAGATACACTAACAGTATTACATTGCAGTGCCAAAGTCCTTCAAACCCATACAAGCCTAAATAGTTATTAAGTTTATGGATCTGATTAAAACATATGGACAGAGCAGGGTTTTCACAAACCTTATGGTGAGTACACAAAATTCACTGTTGGTTTTTGTCTGTACAGAAATTTGGATGGAAAACAAAAGAAAAAAAAATCACTGCTGTCATCATCTAGAGAAGAATCCTGTATATTTGTCAAACCCTACTTGTGGTCATGCAGAGATTAAGAGGAGGTTAAAGTAGTAGGGAAAATGTGACAATATACAGAGGGTTATGTGCAAGACCAATTCAAGTGCCATTATATTGGAGGAGTGGTGTGGGGTGAGGGTCAGATGAGGAGGGCAGGGTTACCTGTGGAAGGGGAGTGAGTCAGGTGGGACATGCGGTTGCCAGAGCTCTGGAGGTTAGCCTCCATGCTGCGGCTGTTTCTGACCGCCTCCAGGGAACGTAGGCTGGTGCGAGGGGCCAGATTAGGCATGCTGTGCCTCAACTCCTCTGGAACCACACATACACCCCAAATTTAACAAAAATACAACAACAATCTCTCTAATGGTCACTCTAAGGTACAAATGCTCAGTTGATACAGATCATAACCCACCCTCACTCTTGGCAAATTTAAGCAGCTCTGCACTGGGGCCCTGGAGAGATCGTCTAGGTGTTCTTGTACGTGGGGCTGCAAGTCGGCTGCTGTGTTCCTGACTGTGGTTGGGGGCAGAAGGAGACAGGCACCGGGGTGAGCCTAAGGGTGAAGGGGTAAATCGACGTTGTCTCTGGGGCACAGAGCAGGGCTCATCCTCTTCATCTTCCAGGCTGTATCTGTCAAATTCCTGGTCGCTGTAGGTGCCACCCCGGCGCAAGGACTGCAGAGAGGTTGTGGAGCTACGGCGTGACGCAGATGCTGAGCTGGAAGCATAATCCTGCCTCAGACCTGACACCAAATTTAAAAAGGAAAACTGCATATGCATACAAACTGTTTTATGCACACATAACATAAAAACAAAACCACACAGAGCTAAAAAAAAAAAAAGAAAATAAAATGTCTGATCTCCTGAGGTACAAGAAAATGTGTGCACTAAGGTTAACTGTGCTAGTTTAATGTCTCTCGTCATCATAAAGAGTTCTCTACTCTACCTTTGCAGGTAGTGTCCAGCACACCATATGACACCTCTACTCACTCTCTTCCTGTAGCCGAGCCATGATCTGGACATCAGTGAGGTCCTGCAGCTTGTAGCCCATAGAGATGGATTCATCTGATGTGCTGAGCTCACTGTCTATGGAGGACTGTGAACTCAGGGCTGAGCGCACGCTTGTGACTCCTGTAAGGGGAAAAAAAAACAAAAAAAAAACATTACAACCGACCTGTTTCCACAATTTCTGCAAATTCTTTCCACCTCTGGTGGTAAGAAAGAATTACTATCAATTTATTTCCACCCTCTTTTGTAAAAAGAATTAACACATTAAATTCTCTTTGTACAAATAAAGGCCAAGAAAAAGGGTCAATTTAAAATTGAGGATGAGGTTTATGCTAAGCACTGTCTTGATTAATGGGCCTCTCGCACCTTAAAATGAGTTTGACAAATCATCAGTGTGGTTACTGACTTAATCACGAAAAGATTAGATCTGTCAGACTGCTTAGCAAGTAACAAGGAACTGATTGATCAGGTGTATAAAACTGTATGATAATTAAGGTAATTAAGAACAGTAGCCCATCACACAGTACAAGTTTTTTTTGTAAGGTTGGGAAATACTGAAGAAAAGCTGCTCACTCAGTTTTAGTCAGCTGGAGGTGTGTGAGATATAACTCACCCCATCTCAGCTAACACACATTTAACCTGCTTCAGGACTATTTTAGATTTAATTTTAGTGTTCACCAGGTGGATATGCATTTTACACAAGGCAGAGTAGATGATCGTCTTTGTTAGACATGCATATTTAAATAAACATCTCTCCACCCTGATTTCATTCCAGTTATGTCCAGCAGCATTAGTCTGGAAAGGACTGACTGCTGATGATGCCCAGGAAAGCCAATGCAAAGTCGTCCTGCCAGGAGTGCCGGTCTGACACAGGCCTAGCATTCAGACTGAGACAAATGGGAAACAACATCATTCAGTGGTATTTGGTTATGTAAAAAGGTCAGGGATTAGACATGGTCACTGCCCAAAAGCCAAGCGTTTACAAGTTCATGCACAATTCTGTTGCTATTTTCAAGGTTTCCACAACAGCATCAGCATTGTTGGTCTTTGCAGATGAAGTGCCAGGTACTTTGAGACAATGTGAGAAAAGTCAAGGAGAGTGCGAGTAGCTGTAGAAATCACCATCACAAAGTCAAGACCATATTCTAGTATTTCACCCAGGTTAACACAGTTTCAATATACCTGAAGTATAAACCACATATACATAATTACTGACCACCTTCCAAAGTATCTGCCAGGCACACACACTGTTTTCCATTCATTTCAATTCAACAGCATGATCAAATCAGAGAGAAGTTAAAATGCTTGAGATAGCATTTCATCATGGATAATGTCTGCTGTTAATTTAAAATAATGTCATTGTTGTGCAGTGATGTACTGACAATGGGAAAGACCTGTTTGTGATGCACTCATGTGTTGGGAGGAAATCCCAACACATGCCACTCAAACAGCAGCCTTTGTAATGCAAGAAGCTACCACATACACATTTGTCTTTTCAGGGCATCTGCATTCACTTATGATTTCATGTTGTCTCTTGAATTCACTGCTGCTCCACACACAACCATTAGGTCTATAATTCCAGATCTTTCTACAGCAAGTTTAACCTCTTTGTTGATACAGTAATACAATCATAAAGATGAATGGTAAACTGTGGTTGCCTGATAGAGAAGTGGAAAATCTAGAAAAGAATGGTATGTTTTGAAAACTGGTTAGTAGTAATGTTCAGTATATGTGGGCAGAACATGCCTAATGCTTCAAATACTACCAATGTGAGACACATAGACTGACCATCATCCTGACAATAACTGACGTCAATCCCACCGTTGGGTTAATGCCATGCCATACCTGAGCTGCCACAGGTTAGTAGGGATTTGTTAGTTGATTTGTGGTACCCAGGAGAGATTGGGCCAGAGCCTGCCTCGGCTGACGGGCTGCTGTACATATTCCTCCATCGAGATGCTGCAGGACACAGGAAAGGAGAGATCAGATATTCTTTAAATGATAACAGAGAAAACGATACAAAGAATAGCTACAGTATGTACAGTTGAAGCCAGTGTAAACGATGTGAATTTTTAGTGTAATGATGAGTATAGTTCATTTCACACCAGTTGCCTGCCTACTGTATGTCATACAAGACCTTCAGATACAAAGTCTGTTTCTTCATTTACTATGACAGCTATGTAACATGTGATAGACTGAATAAACAAACCTACTGAATATGCACTAATATATACTTTACTTCAGGCATTTCAAAGAGCTTAAAATGTACATATATGCTTGTTAAATGCATACTCTGGTCCAAACGGCTGATCAGGGTCCGACAAGCCATTTCTGTCTCTGGGCTGCGCTGGTCAAGAGCCTGACGACACCACTTCAATGGAGACTCTGGGTCTGGATCTGCTACTTGCTTTTTAGGAGACACATATAGCCTGAAGAGAAGAGGTAGACAAGAAGAGAACAAATTATTACCAAGAGGAATGAGAGTGACAAGGAATAGAAGGGAATGGGAAAGCTACAGAGATGAGAAAAATGTGGTAGGGAAAAGGTCTTAAAGTGCCAGTGCAGATTATTCGAATAAGAAAACCTACAGATTAGTGTGACTCACTGAAAGGTAAGGTATGCATCTAATGGTGTGGAACATGCCATGTACAGTAAGAATGTTTTTCACTATGTGTGACAGATGCACGGGTGAGCAAGGTAACATCCAACCACTGAATGGTTTCCAGGCAAAAGGATACTGTACAGCTGCAAAGGTCCCATGACAAACCTGCTCCAGGCTGTTTATGTCATTAACTTTAATCAGACTAAACAAAGGAGTGAGCAAAGCATCATTAAGCAATCTTATCACACCCTCAGACTGGTCTAGTCTTCAGTTTGGCCTCATCTACTCCTGCTTCACCTGACTGGCTCATCAGAGTCTATGTAATGGCAGGACCCACATAGACTACAGCACATCCATAGAAAGGTGGACAAATCTAACATTGCTTCAAGTATAAGACAATGTCGTATCTCCATGTCCAGATGTAGCATCTTATTAGGGATGTAGCTAGATGAGTATAGCTAACACTGTGCATTAATCTTCAATCCTGTTTGCAAAGGACCAATGTGCCAGGAAGCTGGGTTTTTTATAAAGCCACAGTGGCAGCACTGGAAACCACAACTTGACTGATTCCAATGCTTCCTCTGCAAAGCATCCAGTGTCCACCCAGTGAAAGCAAACAGCCATTAGTTCAGCACAAGCTTTGAACTGGGAGTCACATGGGCTGATCCTTTGAACTGGATACACAAAAGGTCCGGACTGACTGGTTCTGGACCAATCAGCTACAAATCATCCTATTATTGGGCAAACACAAAAGTACCCATTTCCCATTGGAATGAGCAACAATACATACAGCAATAATCAGGTCACGCACTCTGCCAGAAAGCACAGGGAGTGGGATCTAGACTCCTTTTATACCGAAGACCTTTGTCTGATGCAGAATAATGATGCACGTTCTGCTTCTGTTTGATCCATCCAGGTCTCAGGTTGTCGCTTCTCATACAAGACACATCTTTACTATAGTTTCAAAAACATCAACAAACATATATAAATCTTTGTTAAGTAAAGTCTTGTTAAGTTCTGGATTGTCAGCCGTGGTCACTACAATGTTGAAGTTTAACAGTCAGTGCTGAACACGTATAATGCTTTACAGTAATAGAAGAAGTGCCGCAGCCAGGGGCAGCAGCACAGAGCCAGGGTGGATAACTTTAGCTGATGCAATGAAATCAAGCAAATTCAGATATCCTGGGGGGGGGGGCATTTAAGAACAAGATGGACATTCACAGGGCAATGCCGAATTGACTTGTGTGAATGTAATAAAGCAGGGATGCAGCATGAGAATACAGTCTACTTTTTACAGCCTGTTTTTTTCTGTCTTTGCTGCCTTCTGATTACATGGGGGAGGGCTCAGATCACATGCTGTGCAATCCCACCCAAAGCATTTTAGTCATGCAGCAGCATCCAACCCAGAGCAGAGCAGATCAGATTATGTCGCTGCTGGGATTACTAGGATTTTGCTATGATAACTGCACAGAGCACGTAGAGGAAGGCTAATGATGTGAAACCTAGAATTAAGACATGAATAGTCTGGTTGTTAACACCACGGTTGAGCTGCTACAGTAGCCATCAGCAATACAATATGGCACCTGTTTTAGGCAATGCAACAGGCACAGAATAAACAGACATGTCTAGACTGATTTCTGGCATAAAATTATTGCTATTACTTATTAACCTTCTATTACTGTACCTTTTAGTTAATTATTTTCTGCTAATATATTGGAGGAAAGGAGCAAAGTTCATCTTGTTTCACAATGCTGGGATTTTTATAAGCTTCAACCAGACCTGCATCCAAGAATGAACTAATATAGGTAAAGCTTTGTTGATCATTAGTACTATTGTGCAACAAGGCTTAAAAAAATGCAGATCTGTCAGGTCAAGTTAATTAATAGTATCATTATTATAATTTACTGAAACTTCTCAGCATCTTGGAAAAACACTCTGTGACTACAACATTATTATTCATGCCTTCAATTACACATCAGTAAATAAAACAGCAGCTCCTTTGTGTTCATTATAACCTGTCAAACAGGAAGTAGACAGGTAATGCATCTGCTGTTTACCTAGGCCACAGAGCTCAGAGACGCAGCTTATCACTAGTAATCACACGTCAGCTGCTTCTGAAATTAATCTCACAGCTGGCCTTTCTTTTACCATCTCCACAACACTCTTGTCTTTCTTGTCTTGTATCCATCACTACCTCATTGTTTCCTAGCAGTTACAGTAAACAGAGTTGGTGATCAAAATGTTTTCCACTGTAAAGGGCAGTATAAATGTATAAAACAAGAAGACACTGTTTTTGTGTCAGCTCATAGGTTGAATTTTAAATGAAAAATATTCTAATGCTACAGCATATAGTCTACACCCATGGGGGAGTTAACAAACAAAAATTTGAGGTTAAAATAAAAAAAAAAAAACACAAGTGACTCATTTGGTTAAAGGGGCTCCTCTACCTCTACACAGGGAAAAATAGCCCACAGCTTTATGTGCCATCCTTAAGTTTGTCAATAGAAATTAGTTTCCAATGAAGACGATCCACTGCAGCTAGCCGTTGCTGGCTCCATATATAGTTGGGCTGTCCCGAATGCCATTTTCAGGGCTTTAGAGCTTCAGTAGAAATAGGAAGGGGGGCTGAATGCTTATATGTTACATGCTGCACAGAAGAATTTCATTTTATCAAATGTATCCACTCAAACTGACTCCAACATGCATGTGGGATGTGTTTCACCCCTGGACCCCCTGCAAGTTTTTAGGCTTCGGGTTTATTTTTTTCCTTCTGAAAACTTTAGGAAGTGGAATCTCCTGATGCAATTCTGGGCTTTTTAGTTTCATTTCACTCGGCCTCTCTAGCAAGCAGGAGAAAATCAGCCCGTACACAAGAATGCTGCTGATTGAGGAGCCTACATACAAACTATTTTTGTCAGGTACATTTCTGAGGCTTTGTCTAACCACTGTCCTGGTGACAGACTGCTGTTCTGATAACAAAGACACTGAACGTGCTGCTCACGTCTCACTTTCAGTGTGAATTGGATGGAATGCTGCTCATGTCTCACTTTCAGTGTGAATTGGATGGAATCACGCGTCAGTATTGCCTACACGCTGCTCAAGTCTCATATTCAGTGTCACCAAAAATCACTTCACACGTCACTGGTCACCTGTTGGTTTCACAACACATAGTTTAGACAAACGTGTAAGAGCAAAGCTAATAATATTTTTCTATCTCTCTTCAGTGTTGCATTTTGTTGACACCCCCTGCATAACCCTCTCGCAGCCAGCTGCACATAGCCTACAATATTTCATCAAAACATCCCTTTTCAAAGGCTATAGCTCGTTATCAGGCATTTCGCTGATTTATTGATTCGGCAACAATGAATCTGTAAATAGTTCATCCTAGGATTGTTCTTAAGCTACCTTACTAAGATTTTTTCCTGGCAAGAAAGTAACCATTTAGATTTAAAATATCTGGACTGCCTGTTTGGAGATTTGCGCTGACATTTTCTTTCCTCTTCATCACCAGACTCAGACCGCATCAGCACTGAAAAAGCCTGGTGTTTCTAACACTAGAATTGAAAACAATTACCTACCCAAAGAACAAATACAAGAGTAGTCAAATATTTGGGTTCAGCCCTAATATATCTCACATCCGCAAAGGTCTCAATGCAGCAATATTCTGTAAGGATTTCTACAGTACAGCTGAAGAAACATACCAGCTGTTCTCGTCCTCTACTTCTCCATACTCATCCTCCAAATCTAGGACATCCACCTCATCTAGTGCAGTTTGGTCCACTCCTGAGTCGCTCTCTGCAAGGGTCTCTGACTCATAACTTTCCTGAGAAGGGCTCTCTGGTGTCTGGGCCTTTCCTGCTCCATTGCTACAGGCCAACGTGAGAAAGCCCCCACATGGACCTTGATCCTCATCTTCAACCTCCTCCTCTTCCTCCAGCCTGTTAGCCACAGGCAGAGGGGACATCTCTTCACTGCTGCTGCTGTCCTGTGGGGGTGACAGCTCAAAGTCTGTACTGCACAGTTTGCCACTGTGCTCCAACCTGAGGTGGGACTTCGTCACGTCTTTACAAGTCAGCCCCTCGTTGATATTGACAGCGGCTGGGAGGTTGCTGTTGGTGCCGGCTCCTCTTTGGATGATAGTCTTGCTCCCCCTGTTGCGCAGGGTCTCATTCTGGACCTCCAACCTGTGAACAAGCTCCTGCAGCTTTCGGACCTCCTCCAGCTCCACCCCTGCCAGGTCTTGACCCCCCTCCTCTTCCTTGTGGCAACCCAGCATGGAGCTCTCTGTGAGGCCAGGGGGACTGCCATTGTCAGGCTGAGGGACCACGCTGGTACTATCTGGCACCACCATGCTCTTACTCTGCTGGAAGAAAGAGTAACAATATATGATTACAATATAGCATATAATATGATGACAATCGCGTTGTTTCACATAACACACCACTAGGCTACTGAATGGACACTATTTTGTAAGCAATACAACAACAAAAACAATAACCAACCACAACAAGCAGCTCTATCTTAGCATAGACGCGCCACTGGTGCGTTCATTAGCCAACTTCTGCTAACAATCACCGGTATTTATATGACGTGGATCACTTTTTTCTTGCTGTCACGTTGCCAACTCCGAAACTGTAATTGCCGCTGCTACATGAGGATGCTGGAAACCATTCGAATGACCTCCGAGCTATAAGAATGCGCCAGCTCTATTGTAGGATATCTAATCATACACGTAGCGTTATATGTGAACACTGCTGTTAATGTCAGCCCTGCTAGCATGCTAATCAGCAAAACAATCATACCTGTGAGCCGTGCTGTCCCCGTGAGCTTGCCCGCGACTGAGAGCTCAAACTCCTCTGTGCACCAGCGACCTCATGAATGAAGTAGCTAATTACAACAGTCAGAAACGGTCCACAGCTTGACAATGATGTCAAGATACCGGATCGACTATCATTTAGCTAGTCCATGCTCCCTTGGTGCCAGATCATCACATCATCAACAGCGTTACCTCTAAGGCTAACTAACGCTAGCTTGCTGGCGGACTCAGTGAACCGACCTACAGTAGCACTTTCCCCTCCCTCCCACGCGTTTTCATTATTATATGTCGCCCCCTATTGAGACAACGTTATACTGCAATTACCTTTTTTGTAATACATCGTCGCCACTGGGTGTCGCTGTTAACACAATGTTGCAACCACAAACCACGGTATTAAACGTAAATTAAAAAAGCTCACTACCAGGAGTTAAATATTTTGCAGTAGGCCTACCTACAATTAGTAATCGTGACATCAAAACGAGCGATTCACACATAACATTTCTTTGATAATCTATTGATATTTTGTATAGGTTTGTTTTTAGTTTAATTTATTATCAAACCTGTAACTTGACGAAATGAAAAGTTTACGCTTTCTCCAACGCACCAATCAGGGTTCAGAATGTTCAAAGTTGGACCAATCATGTTCCATCTCTTTACAGTGTGACTCTCTGCTGCCCTGTGTTAAAACGAAAGCATATTGCTGAATTGTCTGTTCCCAAAAAATCTGCCAGTAAAAGATTACTGAATTCAGTCATTAAAACTCTGAGTTTATATAATAAAAAAAATTTGACTAAACTGTCTACTTAAAACGAGATTTTCATCCTGCTTAAGCAGATGTAACACATTCTTAGAATTTAAAGGACAAACCTGCAAAACACATAAAAAGCATAGAATGTGATAAGATGCTGATATTACATATTAACAGTGACTTTAACGGACATCCTGTCTATCAGGCTATTTTGACAAATAAGAGATCCTCTCGGTGTTTTGTTATCTAAGATGTGAAAACATTCAGATAGAGCTATAATTCCAAGGCCACATAATGGCTCCAAAGGGAAAGTCATTCTTCAAAAAATGTGTGCATGGGACATTTTTTTCTTAGAAAAATTAATTACTGTTGGGTTGAAAATGCATTTCGCTTTGAGTACTACACTTGACATTTTATACACCTAGTACTAGAGAGGCAGCAAATATTTCAGGTCCTTGGCAAATAAAAGGGAAACAATACTAGCCTACTTGTGAAATCTATAACCCCCACAAAGAGAGATTATTTTAAGTCTTTTTGTTTTTGTAGGGCAGGTACATTTAGGGAAGTAGTGATGCTACTAAAAGTACTTGCATAACTTGTTTCACAAGAGACAATAGTTGTGAACTTACCCTAACATAAACACATCAGAAAAGAAAAATAGTGATAAGGACATTTAATATGCAAAACCCGTGAAACAACGCAATGCTACGCCATGTGAAATCCCCTTCTTCTTGTACTGCACTGTTGTCAAAGTGCACAAACAAGCCTGATCCTGAATCACTGCAAAAGATAACATGCATGACTTCCTTATAACTAAAGGGTTAATATGCTTGACTCTTGTATATTTTGAAAATTTAATTCCAGCCAAAGCTGGTTGGATGGAATAAACTAATATCCCTTTGCTCTCAAGTACTTGCCTGCTGGTGTGTGGGCATGTTTCAGCAGGTTTGTTGTGGAAAAATGCAGCCTGTAGCTTAAGCAATCCATGACCAAAGTTTAAGGGAAACAAAACACGTGGTCTCATTCTTCCTTCTTTAGTATGGGCTTTCCAAAGCACTTCTGCAAAGACAGAACATGTTGGTATTTATTACCTATATAAAACAGTTAAATGCAAGGGCCTTGCATATATAAAGTAAATGCAGACATCAAAATCTACTTTTCAAACATAAACCACATTTTACGCTGGCAAAGTGGAATGTGCAACATATGCACCTGGTCCTCCTCCCTTTTCCCCAGCAGGCTTAGACCTGTTGTAAATCTAGATGGAGATTTTCACTGGGTGAGTCAGATTCAGTCAAACTTTCAAAAATGAAGTCAAATGTTATGTAGCTTGTGAGCAGCGAAGGCAAACTGAATGTGCCTACTCTCTAACCACAACTGGACACTGCAACTGACTCATTTTAATAAGGCAATTTTCTAGCACATCAAACATTAGACTACAACATGTTACACAAGTGTGTCCATAACTGTAAATATTTTGGTATCATTGTTATAAGCTGACCCTTGCTTATGATAGTGAAAGACAAAATGAGCCTACAGATGACATATTACTGAATATTATATACTATTTGCTGCTGTATTTTGTCTTTCATACTTGTTTTAGTGTTCACATTGGAGCAATAAACAAACCTTTTCTGTATACTTCATATGGAAACAAATTTAACCTTTTGAATACAGTGATTGCGATAGTATATAAATAGTTCCTAATCTCAGTCTTACACCACTTTTTATTTTGTTGACTTACAAGTACATTAAGAGCCTCTGTACTAGGGCCAGATTTCTTAGTTTATAAAAAAAAAAAAAAAAAAATTCTGAAGTGGAAATGCAAGTCAACCTCATCAGGGACGGCCCACACACACACGCCATTGTAATGAGACAATCAGTGTTACTCACTTCACCCGTCAGTGGTCATGTTATTGCTGGTGTACTTCAGATGTGTCAGCAAGACAGTTTAAGAAAAAATAGGCACACTCAGGCAAAACATTTGACACATTTTTATTAATACAAATATCGTACACATTTTTGCAGGATACTTCCTGAATGGCACAATTTACAGGCATACTTGGTACTGTTAATGCAATACATTTGAAGGATTATATTGATACAATCACTCATGATTCTTCTCCATGTTTTGAGTCCTAGACCCCATCTTGCTCCAATCAACCCTTTAAGTTGTATGGCAAAAGCACAATAAAATACATCCATTGCATTTGTTTACTTGGGATTACAGGCAGATATTTCCCCATAGCATCAACCCAAACACCATTTCTAATCAAACATGGCGGCACAAAACAGGCAGTCACAGA